TTGGTTCCTAGCGGAAAGCAACCCCGCACTGCTGCAAGAGCTAGTGGAGGAGGAGGTGCGCAAAGGCTTTGTCGCAAAGTTTGAAGGCACCGAAGACGACGCAAAGCGCCACTGGCCGCAGGGCACTGCAATCGGCAAATTAAACATTGTCATGGCCGAAGGACGCGACCCACGCCTGGTTCTTGACAGCACCGTGTGCGGACTTAATCCGGCCGTGCACCTTCCAGAACGCGTGTCCTTGCCCAACGCCTCGGACGTGCAGCGCACATTTTTGTCAGATGACTGCTATGCACAGCTTCACGCACTGTCGCTAGACTTTAAGGCAGCGCATAAATGTTGCAAAGTCAGCCCCGCAGACCAAGGCACCTTGCTGTTCCGAGTTGGCAATTCCCTGTACTACTACAAGGTTTGCCACTTCGGGGCACGCTTCTCGGCATATTGGTGGCAACGCACAGGTAGCCTCCTACTGCGCTGCATACATGCGCTGCTGTGTGACTATCCGCATAGAGCCTGGCTTTATGTCGACGACCTCCTGGCCCTGCTCCGCACAGCCGACAAAGACATGGCCACCGCACTGATAGTTGCACTGCTTTCAGCCCTGAACGCACCCATCAGCTGGAAGAAGGCTCAGTTCGCACAGGAAGTTACCTGGTGCGGGTGGACCATTCGCACGGACGCAGAGACCATTGAGCTCCGCGAACTGAAATTGCACAAGCTCCGCGAGCAGCTAATTGCACTTCAACGCAAAAGCAAAGTGCAACGCAAGGAGCTGGAAGGTGTACTAGGCCTACTCAATTGGGCCACCTCCCTAAGTAAACATATGCGCCCCTTCATGGCACCGCTCTACAAAGACCTACACAGCTGCAAAGGCACGCTGCACAGCATTTCACCTAACATGTGGGGCACCTTCCTAGATTGCCTCGACAACAACGCAAAGCTCACCCGCACGCCAGCAGGCTCTTGGCTGCCACGCAATGCACAACTACTTGAGGTCGGCAGCCTCAAAATAGCAAGCAAAGCAGATGTGCCCCTTGTGCCGCCCTCGCACAAACACCAATGGCTCAGGCTTGCAGACCCGCACCGCTCTGAAGTTCACCTTCGGCACGAAAGCAAATTCGTCCTGGCATGGCTGCAGCATTGTTTTGCACATGAGCAGCCTCGCTCGCTGCGCACAGCGCCACGCATGCACTGCTACAGTGCGGCGGACGCATTCGCAGATACGCACCGCATGGGCATTGGAGGTTGGATCAGCACTGCCGACGCCTTCCTCTGGTTCAGCGCCATCTTCTCTGCAGAGGAAGTGCGCAAGCAATGGCCGCAACTGCAAGGCAGCCTGCAGCCCTACATTGGTTGCTTTGAATCTCTCGCACAACTGGCACTGGCACAGTGCTCTTGGCAACTGCTACGCAGCAAACAGATCCGCTTTGTTCTGCCCACAGCATCCGACAATACCAGCGCAGAGTCTGGCCTTAATAAGCTCTTCAGCACGGCAGAGCCTCTGGGGACTTTTCTTCGCCTGGCGGCCACCTGGGCGCACCTGCACCGCGTGCAGTTTGAGGTGGAGCACCTCGCCGGCGAAAAGAACGTTTGGGCCGACAAGCTCAGCAGGGGCTCCACTGCCTTTCTTCAGCATCGCACTGCTGACAAAGTAGAAGTCACGCTAGCGCAACTAGCATCCGCATCGCATTGCGTCACATTACATGATCACGCACTCTCGTGGCCGCAACGGCTACTTGACGCACAGCACGCAATGCTTAAATGATGTTTAGAAAAAGAGTGGAGTGACGCCTCTCTCTCTCTCTCTTCTGGTGAGCACAGCCTTGCTTTCCACGCTCTGCATGTCTCACGCCCTGCCTCGCCAGGTACATTCACCAACTCGCGCGGTGAGGGACTTTTGTAGCAGAGGTTGTCGAAGTGCACCTAAAGTGGGGGTCTGCTCGGCATCGCTTGCCGCTTTCCCTTGCGAGCAATGCCTCGCGCTGCACTGCACTCTCGAGCAACCTCTGCGGAAAAATAGAGCGTCTGCAGTTCGCACTGCACTGAGCGTTGAGAACAGTTAGGAGAACGCTAGTTGTGAGTTTGTGTTTTTGATTCAACTGTGTTTTCTTATCTGTGTCGAAACCTTTAAACGCTCCGCACTGTTTCGGCACAAGCACTCACAACTAGTGTTCGCTTTTCTCGCATCGCATGCGTAAGAAATTTTCACCCACCCTCCACGCCCTTGGGGGTCTGCTCGGCATCGCTTGCCGCTTTCCCTTGCGAGCAATGCCTCGCGCTGCACTGCACTCTCGAGCAACCTCTGCGGAAAAATAGAGCGTCTGCAGTTCGCACTGCACTGAGCGTTGAGAACAGTTAGGAGAACTTGATGGAAGCTAAGGCCCGAATCCAGTCTTGATGGGACTGGGAGCTCAGCAGCTGAGCCAACTCCTGCCTCGTGTAACGTACTGTCAGCCGTGGAGCCGGCTGCGGGACATAGCCGACGAGTTCCGCATTGGATTCCGGAGGCTCATATGCTGACGGGGGGCGGGAAGAGGGAGGAGGGGGCGTGTGGGAGCGCGGAGCGGCCTGGGTGGCGGGGGTTGGAGGAGAGACGGACTTGGGGGGGTGCGGAAGGATCGGGGGGACCGGAATCGCAGGAGGGGGGGCTGGTGCCGCCGATGAAGATGAGGGCGGGGGGCATTGGGTGGCCACCAAGGGCGGTGGGGCCTTAACCGGAAGCGCTGGGGCCGCCTTCGGTGTTTCTGCTTGGCCTGCTTTGAAGGCCGCCTTTTCAGCTGCTGAGGAGGTGAAAGGGCAAGGGGGGGAGGGTGGCGGCTCAAAGCCGGCTGCTTTGTCTACACCTTTGGTCCTGGTATGCTGGGGGGAAGAGGAATTTCCTGGGGGAGCTTGGGGGGAGGAGGAGGGGGGGGAGAGTGGGGGGCTGGCGTGGCACTGAGTGCTGGGTTGTGCTTCTGAGTGACAAAGTGGTTCTTAAGGCCGTGGCTAGTGCTGAATTGCACCTGCCTGTTGTGCTTGCGGCAGTGCAAGCAGCATAGCCACATGTCCCCCGAGACTTTCACTTGCCCTAATCCTCGAGGGATAAGCTCCAGCACATCCTGCTCTGTAAGGTCTTGATTGTAGTGGTGGGTTGCACGGACCGTAGCCATGATCTCTGCAAAGGAGTTGTACTGAATGCTGTCGGCCACATAGGCTTCAATATCCTCCTGAGTGGGAGGAGGGGGAGCCGATGAGGCGGTTGCCATGGTCTGTGACCTAGGTGGCTGTGGTGAGCTGTGCTCTTCAGGTCTGTCAGACTGGATTTCAAGGGAGATGTCAGGGAGTTGGCTCTGCAGCATGCGGTCTGTGCGTTCCTTGGTGGTTGGGTCTCCCTGAAATCCCTTCAGCCACTTCCAGCAACGGGTATATGCAACGGTCGTGTTGTTGGTAGTCACGAAGTAGTGGCCATCATTGTCGTACTTCTTGTTCTTCACTCGCTTGTCCCAGCGCTCCGAGAACAGGTAGATGGGGCCGAATTTGGTGGAAACATTCCATCCCGGCTGAGGGGAGTGACCAAGGTCGCGACCCAAGATCTGCCAAAGATATTTGCAGAAGGTCATGTATTCCAAGTTTGCCTTCGCTGTCATAACCTGACGGCTGAAGGCGTGCTGTATGGCTTCCCTCATCAAGGGATGTCTGGGCTTGCCATAGATGATGCCTTGAAAAATATGATCTCCTTTGACTCCTATGGCCATGACCATGAACTCCTGTGGGAGTTGGCCAGGTGGGGAGGGTCTGTGACCCACTTCACCTGCCTTCTTTGAGTGAGCTGTGCTTCAAAATCAAGTCCTAAAGCTGCCACTGCCACTGCCACTACCCCTGCTACTACTGCTGCTACTACTATCACTACTACTACTACTACTACTACTACTACTACTACTACTACAACTGCTACCACTACTACTACCACCACCACTGCTACTACTACAACTACTGCTGCTGCTGCTGCTACGGCTACTGATGCTGGTAGTGCTACTGCTACTGCTTGCCGCTACTGCTACTGCTACTGCGACGACGACGACGACGACTACTACTACTACGACGACGACGACTGCCACTATCCCCACTGCGACGACAACTACGGCTACCACCACTGCGACAACGAATTCGACGATGACTGTAACAAACACACACACATGCTATTGACAATGTTGACAGCAACGTGACCAGAAACAAGCAATGACTTCAAAAGAACTAGAATGGACAGTCTTCTTTCTAACGACACAACCCCGGACAACTACGTAGTTCTGGTATGACAGCCCTTTCTTGTTGCTGATGCGTATCATCCAATCCCTAATTTGGCTGCCATCCTATACCGGTGCTGCCCTTGTTCCAATCCGTTTGATTTTTGGACCGTGTTCAAGGTAATGATGAAATTGTGATGGCGGTCATGATGACGATGATGGTCATGGTCGTGAAGCCCGTAGCAAGCTTGATCACTACAAGTCCCAACCCCTGGGTCCTAAGCTTTTGCTTTTCAGGGCTAGGCCTTGAGCCTTGAAACCTATAGCCTAAACTTCCCCAAGCCCCCCTAAACCCTAAACCCGTACTGCATCATCAAGCCGGTGAAGATGTGGAGTGTCTTTGTAGCCTCTGGATCCGAGCCGTGGGTGGAAAGTTGGGCAGTGAGTGAGTTGGGAGCGATCAAGAAACCCGAACCCTTAGGCCCTAAGCCCCAAACCTCAAGCCCAGCACCATAAACCCCCTGACTCTAAATCCCCTCAAAACCCCGAAACTCTGAAGCCCTAAAGTGTCTAAAGGTAGTCTGGAGGCGTCCGGCTAAAAGACGCGAGGGTTCAAAAAGAAACGAAAAACAAAGTGTCTAAAGCCCCAGAGCTCCTAAATCCTAAACCCTAAACATTGAACCTCAACCCTGAACCCTAAACCCTAAACCCGCAAAAAAAAAACCTAAACCCTGAACCCCAAACCCTAAACCTCAAAGCCCCAAGGACCCTTACCGCGAGGCTGAGACGCGGAAGCCGCCAGGCGTCAGTTCTGGGCTCTCGCGGCCCGGTGGTGGGCCCAGCAGGCGCTGGGGCTATCGCGAGGCGCAAGAAGGGGGGTTTAGGGTTCAGGGCTCAGGATTTTTGGGTATGGGGTTTCGGGTTTACCATAATAGGCATCTATTTAGGGGATCCTAAGTAGATATTTTGGTTTCTTTTTAGTGGTAACTTAAACTAGTTCCCTTAACAAGAACCCAGAAGAAGGTAATCAAGCTCAGAGAACAAGGGTGTAGGGTTCAGAGTTTCAGGGGGTCTTAGGGGTTTGAGTGGTTTTGGGGTGTTCTTTTTGGGGGTTTTGGGGGTTTAGGGTCTTGGGCTCTAGAAGGTTCTGATAGCTGCGTGGGGCATTCGTTATGAGTTAAGGTGTACTGCTGAATCGAATCGGTAGTGGGCTCCCTGTGTTCTTGCTGCAGACAGATCGAGAGCCACACAAGACCTCTGGTCCTTAGCGTAAAGACTGAGCGTGAGGGTCGCAAATGAAAGATTTGGGTTTCGGGGTGAGAGGTGCAGGTGCACAGGGAGTTTTGCAACAAGGTCTTCGGTTGGGTCGTTTGGAGGGGTTCAGCGTTGCCCCAATTACGTAGCTTTCACTGGCTAAGGTCTTCCTTTAGTCGACTCTTTTAGCGGCCGTAAAGACCAGGGTTCGGCAGCATCCATGCGTGTTCTACTCCCCAACTCCTTTGAAACTTCGCCTGAACCCTACCCGGATAGTCCACTACTCCCTACAAAAGGAATATACTTTAAGTTCTAGGACCTTGTGTTTATGATTTAAGGTGTATTCTTAAATTCTAAGGCGGGGTGTATGTCTCTGGGTAAAGTCGCATATGTCCATGTGAGAGGAGGCAAAAGCGGCATCGGGGAGGCGCTGGCGGGCCAAAACAAGTGACGTGGCGGATTTCAGGCTCGGCTGAAGACTGGTTGCATCGCTGTTTCGGGTTCAGGGGTTTAGGGGTTTGGGGTTTAGTTTCGGGTTGATGGTTTAGGGTTCAGGGGTCTACAAGGGGCCCCTACCACCATATTCGTTTGACATCGTGGGGCAGCCCACCCGGATTTGTAAGGGCGTTGTCTGCTTTCATCTGCCTGGTTCTTAGAAGGGAATGGGGGAATGGATCCCTTTGATAGTCGCTTAAGGGTCCCTTGTAGTGGTCCCTATAGCGCATTCCCCCATTCCCTACTAAGAACCAGACAGTCATGTTCGGCTGCTTTGGGTGGTACAGGCGTGTGGACACAAGGGTCTTCAACAGCTGTTAACCTCAAAATTTCAATGCTTAACAAAAACAAACCCTGAACCCTACCCCAAAGCCCTCAACATTCAACCCGAAACCTTGAACCCCAAGTCCTCAGATCCCGAGGCCCCAGGCTCCACAGGCCTGCAAGTCTTCAGCTCCGAGGTAGTATCATTAGGGAGACCCCTTCACGGGGACCCTTCTTAACCTTACTCCTGACTTTACTGAGAGGGTTTAGATGCCCTAGGCCCTGTAGGCCCTACACCCGTAAGCCCTAAACCCTAAACCCTAAAGCTTAAGCCCGAAACCCTAAGCACGCCGGCCGCCGAGGTGACAGCACCACGTAAGTCGGGTGCCCTCGGCGGGGTTTTTTCCTTCGGCCAAAGGGTCGAAAGCCCGCGGCCGACCCCGATGAAGCTGGGATCAGGGACCTTTAAGGGCCCCTTTCAAGGATACTATTAATAGGGTTCTATAATAGGGTTCCTATAGTATATGGTTCTATACTAGGGTTCCTATACCATATGGTTCTATAATAGGGTTCCTATACTATATGGTTCTATAGTAGGGTTCCGATACTATATGGTTCTTTAATAGGGTTCCTAGAAGGGTTTAACTATATGGTTCTATTATAGGGTTTTGATACTATATGGTTCCATAATAGGGTTCCTAGAAGGGTCTGGCTCCCCTCGTTCTGTGACGTAAGGATTTCTAGAAGGGTTATTGTAGATGAGGGTCAAGTACGATGTAAGGGTTTCTGGAAGGGTTTCGATGAGGGTTGCTATGATGTAAGGGTTTCTGTAAGTTTTGCATAGGGGTTTCTATAGCTGTTACGAAAAAATCAAAGTTCGGGTTCTTAGAAGGGTTTCGATGAGGGTTGCAAAAATGTAAGGGTTTCTGTAAGGGTTATTTTAGGCAAGGGTTTCCATAAATCAGAGATAACCTCAGGGTTCTCCTGCCGTCAGGATTTAAGGTTGGGGGCATGTGGTTTAGCATTTAGGATTTGGTGGCTTGTCAGGGTCGAAGTTCGAGATTTCAAAGCTTTACGGTTCTATGGCTTTGAGGGTATAGGGGCCAGCGTTTAACGTTTAGGGTGTAGGGTTTGTGGGTTCCAAAGTGCAGGCTTTTTGCCTTTAAGATGTAAGGGTAAAGCGATTCAATTGGAGAATCCTGAAGTGTGTGTTCTCACGCCGATTTCAAGGGCCATGCCGTGCTGGAGGAAAGTCTGCAGACGCCTGCTGCCCAGCTGTTGGATGTTTCCGACATCGATTTTCGGTTTTCGCGCCTCAGAAAAGGAACGATGCACGGATCGCGGGTGCTACTGAAATCCGCGTCCATATGCTTCGACATCCGAGTCGGCACATCTAGCCCTGCTGATTGGCTGCGTTCCCTGGGCGCCAAACCCTCATAGGACAGCTTCAAAATCAAGTCCTAAAGCTGCCACTGCCACTGCCACTACCCCTGCTACTACTGCTGCTACTACTATCACTACTACTACTACTACTACAACTACTACTACTACTACTACTACTACTACTACTACTACTACTACTACTACATCTACGACTACTACTACTACTACTACTACTACTACTACTACTACTACTACTACTACTAGCACCACCACCAACACCACCAGCACTACCACCACTACTACTCCGACTACAACCGCTACGGATACAGCTGCGACTGCGACTGTGACTACGGTTACGACTACGACTACACCTACGACTAAGGCGGCTACACTACGGCTACAAATACGACTAATTACGGCTAAAGCTGCGACTGCGTGCGGCACTGCGTGCGACTACCACTCCGACTTCGACTACAGTACGGCTGCGACTACGACCACGAAGACGACGACTACCGTACAAGTGTGTAAGCAAGCTTACCTTACATGTCATGCCTCATAATTTACACGAGCAATCGTATGTTCAGCCAGACCAAGCAGAGAAGTCGCATTGCTCTCGTTCGTGGCGTCAGGAGTATTCGAAGACTTACAGCTTCATGGCCGAGAGGTCGGAGTGCGATGGCCAGTGCCCGGCCTCATTCCTGTGGGCCTTTGAACTTCAAGGTTTGTTTAGGGCTTAGGGTTTAGGGTTCAGGGTTGAAGACTCAGGGTTTAAGATTTAGGGTTCAGGGTTTAAGATTTAGGGTTTAGGGTTGTGTCGATGTCTTTGTGGAGACGTGTACAAACGTTCAGATACCAACTCGTGATGGGTTCGACTCGTTTCGGAAGATCGTTCAGTTGAAGAGGTAGATAACGGATGCCCTGTAGCGAACGTATTTTCTGCACGAGCCCGCCATTGAGGAGTTCAGGTTCAGCGAAGCAGCTAAGGTGCACGTACTGCCGGCACGCCAACAACCAGCACAAGTGGGCAGAGATCCGCACCAAGATCGGGCACTACGTGTACAGAGACAACGAAGAGGATGTAACTCGGACATCAAAAGCATCTGTCTATTTCGCGATTCCTACAGTCTTAACGCGAAAGCACTGGCAGTCTGAGTCGAAAAGTCTAAGTATGCATAGTCATTGGACGTGGGCTAGAAGTCATCTAGTTTCTGCTGTCGCCGTCGTAGTGGATCCAATGCTGGGACAAATGGTTTCGGTTATGCTCGGGACAGCGGCAGCTTGCTCAGATGCCTTGAGCCCTGAACCCTCATCCATCATTTACCATAGTTACCCCAAGTTCTAACTCTCAGCCCAAACCTGCACCCTAAACCCTAAATCCTGAATCTTAAACCCTGAACCCTAAAGCCTAAATCTTAAACCATAAATCTTAAACCCTGAACCCTAAACCCTGAATCTTCAACCCTGAACCCTGAACCCTAAGCCCTAAACAAACCCTGAAGCCCAGAAAGTTCCTTCAAGTCGCAGCAAGGACTCCTGGCTTGCCCTAGCTGAGCACCGAGAGGCGCCAGCTTCCCTTGACGGCGGCTGAGATCTTCAGTCTCAGCTTTCAGGTTTGAGGGTTTAGGGTTTAGGGGTTTAGAGTTTAGGGAACCAGGGTTTGGGGTTTAGGGGTTTAGGAGTTTTCGGGTTTCGAGTTTCGAGTCTTGGGGTGTGAGGCTTTCAAGGTTTGGGGTTGGAGTTTCGGCTGTTTTCGGAATTCAATGTGGGAGTTTCCGAAAATTAGGGGTTCCTCATTTTGGGGTCCTTACAAAAAAAAGGATCCTACTATTTAGGAATTAGGGTCCCCTATTTTTGGAAACATGGAGACAAGTCTCGGGTGTTTTCAGACGTTTTTGGGCAATTTTGTTGGTGCTTGTGGAGACCTCTGGAACTGGTAGTGCGGCTTTGCATGCTGTTATACTATTTTCAAGCCAGAACATGAGGAACTTCATATATGAACTTATACAACATTTTTGAAGCATGGCGCGGAAGTTGTAGAAGCATTAGCAGATTTGCATGGGAACATGAACACATCGCTGCAGGACAGCCGCAATAACATCGCATGACAACCACAGATAAAGAAGCTTCTCACAGCCTGATGCACACAAGCTCATCCAAATAAAGCAGAGTGATGTCCGCAGAGTCAATGCCAGCATATCCGAACTCCGAAATACGAGGTACAGGATCTCATCAACTGGTCGTGGCTGACCCCTGAGCTTTCTGCATCGTATGTGTCGCCCACGCTGTCGTGTCCTTGTGGTGTGTGCCTCCGTTGTTCCTCCTATTGCAATTCTGATTGCTATCGTACGTGCTACCGTGGTGGACATGCAGCGGTCATTATGAAGACGATGATGATTGCAATCGTTGCCATGGCAACAATCACGACTTATGATGGTGATTTCTGTCCATTTTGAAACATCACTACAAACATTCATCTGCTTGCCATAAGTCCTGGTGTTATACTTCACTATTGCCATAAGGTTATTGTCACACGGGTATTATCAGTACCAGTGTTATCGTCATTGGTTTCAGTAGTGTTTTGTGTCTACTGTCAAACTTGGAGCTTTCCATGCCGAGATTCCTGAGTCTAGTCACTGTTGTTATCAGGGTATTCTGGCTGTTGGTGTTTACCTATCCGAACCTTCATGTCACTGCTCTCATGGTAGTTAGGTTGGTTCTCCAGCCGCTTGTGTAATCATTGGTTGTGATATGGATGATTGGCCTCAGCCTTTCTCTTCCTTCATCCCCTTTCCTCGTGGAGGTCGTTGTCGTTGTTCTGTCGTGGTCGTCGTCGTACGAGGCGGATGAGCAGCAGCATGGTCCCTGATGTCGGGTGTTGCTCTGATAGCTAGTCTTGTCGTTGCAAGATTTTTTGTCGCAGCTGGTGAGGGTGAAGGGCGTGAACTTCGAGTGCATCCTGGGTATCATCGCCCTGAGGCCGTGCCTGTGGTGTTCTGCTGGTGTGCATCAAGGGCGTACATCACTAAAACCCTGCACCCGAACATGGAACAGACACTAAAACTCACAAGGATCGGCTGGGATACGGGCTCCAGTGGTAACAAATCAAATATAGGGGCCTAAACATATTATTGTGGGGTTCCTTAGTATGAATATTTTTCATGGGCCCCAAAACCCTCGTCTAATTATCAAGGCCCCTATAGTAAGCCCCGTAACCCCGTAACCCAGTTCTTCGAGGGTATGGTCGAAGGTCAGGGCGAGCCTCAAGCATGATTTTCGTTTTCTGCTCGGCTCGGTCGTTCCGGTCGCTGTCTCAGATCAACGGCCCTAAGCCACGGTTGAGTGTTTAGGGTGTCGGGTTTAGAGCCCAAAGTTTGGGACCGGGCCTTCAAGTGCCAAAGTTAGCTGTCACATCTGCCTGCCCACCTAGCTTAGCTTCCACAAACCCTAAACCCAAACCCCTAACACTAAACTGAAAAAAACCTAAACCCCTAAACCCGAAGCCCTAAGCCCTGGGTCTTAGCAATTTGCCATGAAACCTTCCGTCTAAACTTTCCTGCTACCACAAGCAAACCCTGGAGCACCAAAGCAACAACAATAGTCAAAATAGCAACAGAATGAGAATAAGAATAGAACAAGTAGTAACAAGAGTGATTAGTAGCTGTGGCCATATGAGTAAGAACAAGGATAGAAAAAGCTATACCAAGAATAGCAATAGCAATACTAGTGAGAAGTGATAGAAAATCGCAGTAAAACATCCTGGAGCCCACCCGAAGCCTCAAAGCTTGCCTTTGGTTAGTAGGGAATGGAAGAATGGTAGTTATTATTGTACCCCATTCCTCCATTTCCCTACCAACCAAAGGTAAGAAAGGTTGCTCAACGTTCCATCTTTCGGCCTCTCAAGCCCCAAGGCTCTCAAGCATGCTTCTAGGGTTTAGGGATTAGGGGTTTAGGGGTTTAGGGGTCTAGGGGTCTAGGGATTAGGGGTCTAGGGATTAG